TGAGAGAGACAGCAAAGACAAAGGGTGTTGTATTATATTTGTGGTATTCATTTATAGGCCCAAGATTGACATATATACAGTAAACATAATCAGCTGCAGTCTTATAATAAATACACAAAATGTGTTTATTATTCTATAAAAACCTTTTGATTCAGAAAAGTCTTGAACAGAGTGAGATTACTATTCTGAATCCAGGATCCACAGAGCTACAGCAGCGAAACACAATCACAGCCCTTAAGGGACAACATCCTTGAGATTTTTTCCATTTAACCAAATATGATTGAATATTTATCTCAAGGCTTGAATTAAGGCAGCTGACTAATTATTTGAATCATGAGTTTTGTAAAATTAGCACAACTGAATACAATTAGGGTTGTCATGATAGCAGATTTTCACCACACAATTATCTTGGTCAAAAGAATTCACAGTAATGATATTATCACCATATTCATAGAAGATATTGGCAAATTAATAATGATGTTATCAATCAAATTCATCTTTTAATTTGTTTATTGTGTATTTAGTCTCTTTTTGGCAAATGAATTTCACTCATAATACGAGTTTAATGAGGTGGAGAGTCTATAAGCAGAACTAGAAGAACAATTACGGTACTTAATGGGGAGTGAAAAGACAACTGGGGCTAAAACCCCGATTGCACTCGCTCTTGTTTGTCATCTTCGACATGCCTTTCCATGCCCGTAGTGGCCACACAGCACAGTTTGTTGCACTTGCACATCTGAACATGAGTAACATTACACTTTACAGCTTTTTACAATGGTGCCCGATTTGTACCACCTTGTTTTCACCACACGGCACAACTCAACCTGAATTTCTTTTAACAACATCAAGTTAATTTTACGGATGGCTTGTAAGTGATCTCAACCAGCCCAGGGTGGGATATTCAGCCAGATTTCTGTTTAATGAAAGTCCTGCATAGCACCTGCACTAGTGTCAGCAAAGAAAATGGTTTTTTTTCAGTTAGCAGAATTATTGACACCAGTTGTCACTAAACAATAGAGTGACGACTGTATTTTGCAGTAAATGTAGACAATACGTAAATGTCAATGTAAAAAAAAAAACATTTGTAATGGCAGCTGGTTTCGATTAGAATATTCGTTGAGTCCAATGGCCAAGTCTAAGACACTAGAAAAACATAATAATTAATACTTGATTTATCCCTGTGGGGAAATTGTCTTTACACCTCCCTCTACTTTGTAGAGTAAGTTGTCTGTGAAGGGCAGCCACCTGTAGTAGTGCCCAGGGAGCAGGGAGTTAAGATACTTGCTCAAGGACCCGCAGACGTGCTGAGGCTGGGTTTGAACTGGTGACCTTCTGATTACAGGCACACAGGCTTAGCCCACTGAGCCACACGCTGCCCCAAAGACTAAGACCAAACTCGACTACTGCAGCCCTGTTCTGATGTACTTTTTTCATAAAAGTCAAGCAAATATCTAATATCAGACTTGTCTAACTTGTTGTCTAATTGCTATGCTGGTTAACTAGCTAGCTCGTTAAGGAGACTTTTAAATAGCCTTAAACTTTGAAATGGAAGAGTTCAATTTTTATGAAATGATATATAGTTATCAGTCTCCTCAATTTAACTCATAAAATTATAACAGCAAAAGGTAGAAACACTGAAGCTGCTGGCAGCTTTGCTGCTTGGCACCCAAACGCGCAACTTTAATTTAGCTGTTAATTATTTGCATATTAAGACACCCTTGCAACTGCCAACTGTTAAAATGGTTCCTTAAGTTAAAAATTTTGCATGTTTTACATGTTTCGCAGAGGTTTGCACTCCGTAGCAACTGAGGATAGGTTGGGTCAGGGCAGGTAAGGTCAAGAAGCAGCAAATAGTTGAGTTTTGTATTTAAAAATAACAACAATAACATCACTTTTTTGAAAATCATATTAACTGGAATCATAGGAATTTTGGTAACGCTTTACAATACTGGTACACAAATAAGCATATATTAATAGTTGAACTAATACCTGAGTCAGGATGAGTTAATGCATTCACTAATGATTAGAACATCGGTAAATACTGAAGCAAATACCTCAGTGACCTAATAAATCATACATAAATAAGCATTAGTGTCATTGTTAACTACTAATGCATTCATGATTCACTTTAATAATTAAGTGTTTTATTAATAGCCTACTATCTCCAGAGGCGGGCCTTTTTGGAGCCACACTCCTAAAGTCACTTTGGGCAAAATCAAAACAGGAAGCTAGCTCAAAAACAGAGTAAAAAGTTTCAAATCTGAGCATTATCTGCTACAATCGATGGAAATGCACCAAGACTGGCCCAGACACTAAAATAGCTTTACTACAATTATAAAATTTGCTTATTATCTTCAACTACTTTACTGTAGTAGAGTAGTCAAGTAGTGTATATAATAATGTGTGAGCTCCCTCTAGTGGTGCTCTTTAGGTAGAACACCAGAGTCATGGCTGTATTATTGTTGCAGTCACCATGTTGCAAATATCTAATAGTGCTGTAGTTCCATCGGTCTTGAGACCAATTTTTTGTGGTCTCGGTCTTGTCTTCGTCTTGACTCTATTTGGTCTCGGTCTTGTCTTGGTCTCGACCCTATTTGGTCTCGGTCTTGTCTTGGTCTCGGACATAGCGGTCTCAATGGGATGGGGAAAAAAAGAGAAAACAGCACATGCTCACAGAACTGTATCATTATTCATTACGCACCTCAATTCAAATGCAACCAGTCAGATGCATCTACTTTAAAAACGTTACATTGTATACATTTTCTCAATGGACACAATGCTTCACAGTCCATACACTTCATACACATCGCATGATAGCAAAGAAATGTTCCAAAACGTCACCACGCGTCACCATGTCACATAGTACAAAATCCTCGCGAGA